GTCCCAGCTATTCAGGAGGCTGAGGCAGAAGGATCGCTTGAGCCCAGGAGTTTGAGGTTGCTGTGAGCTAGGATGACGCCACGGCACTCACTCAAGCCAGGGCAACAGAGTGAGACTCTGTCTCAAAAAAAAAGAAAGATCTCAAACCAACAACTTAACTTTACAACAAAAGAACAGACTGAATCCAGAGCTAGTAGAAGGAAGGAAATAATAAAGAATATCATTTCTAAGAATCTTGATAAATTGAACTTTAGAATATTATGGTTTTACATTGTTTTAAATTATTTGCTTATATTGAATATTATAGATTTTCTTTTTGGTTAAATTGTTTATGTCAATCTGCCATAGTCTCTACAAAACAAAATAACTTCACTTGTTCAAAATAATTAGATTGTTCTGAAATGTTTGGTTGTAAAATAATCAAATGATTTGCATTTTTAAATGTATTATTTCATTTCAGGTTGCAGTGTAGGATCTTGGAAGTCCTCCCCCCATCACATCAAAATGGTTTTGCTAATGGACATGTTAGCAGTGTAGATGGAGAAACTATTATCATTAGTGATAGTGATGATTCAGAAACACAGAGTTGTTCTGTTCAAAATGGGTAAGTGATTTTTATTTTTTAAATTATCATATTGACTAATGATATTCTTTGAAATAATTTTTTTCTTCATCCCTCTCTTCTTTCCTTCCTTTCTGGTCATACTGTGGTTTACTACCCATCTAAACAATCTGGTCCAACAACAGATGCTAGAATTTCCAAAATTGAAACTTACCTAGTTAACTCTAATCAGCTGCTGAAGAGCAGTTTAAGCTGCTTCAGTTATTGTCTATATATTTTTGTTTACTTGAGAAAATGTATTCTGTACTTTAATTATTAATACTTAACTCCCTTTATGTTGTACATGATAAAGAAACTCTGTAACCGCCTAAAATTCAGTCAGTTGATGGCCTGTGTCAGCTGAGTGCTGTTGGACAAAAATATTACAAACATATATAAACATGTAATTTAAAATTTCAGCTAAGTCTGCAATTGATTAAAAGTTGTTTTACATATTTTAGCTCAGCAGCCTTTTCTGTTCTCCACAACAGCTATTCTAAATCTTTACTCCTCTATTCTTTTCCCTTTTAGGCATCTCAAACTTTAAAATGCTCTCTCCAGCCTGTCTTGTGTCATTCTTGCTTCCCTATTTTTAAAAGTGAACAGTTCCATAATATTCAAATAAGAAACCTGAGGCCACTCTTAACTATTTCTCTTGATTACTTTGCTCCTGAAATACTAGTGTCTATCAAGTTCTGTCCTTCATAACTGTGTGGTTCAAGTTCTCATTTTGTCTTACATGAACTATTGTAGCTGTAACTAGCATTGACTATGATCGGGCATTGTACTAATAGATTATAGGCCATCATTAAGGGCTTTGGATTTTACCCTGAGTAAAGCCAGTATTTTGAATAATAGGATGATAATGATTAACTTACACTTCTGAAAGATCACTCTGGCTTCTATGTGGAGAACAGACTATGGGGCAAGAGTGCAAACAGAGACACCAGTTAGAAAGCTTGTGAGAACTGATGGCAGCATGGACTTAAATGGTAGTGGTGGCAATAGAAAGAAGAGGTTGGATTCTGAAAATGCCACCTCTGTGAATGCATGCCACCTCTATGAATGTGAAGAGGCTATAAGTGGGGGTTATAGAGAAGAGAAGAAAATGATACAAAAAGAACTCTAAGAGATCAGGCAGAAGCACTGCTGGGAGTTCTGAATAAGAGTTTCTTGAAAATAGGAAAAAGACAAATGAGTTTTAATAAATTAGCAGTAGTTTAAGAATAACAGACTTGATTAAGAGTTAAGATAGTACTTTTTCAATAGGTGCCAATTTAGCAATTAATGCCTACCATTTTATACATAAGAGATTGATCAAGTATACAATAGATTGCACTTAGAAGATTATTACCAGTGGCAATATATAATTATATATAAATAAAGTACATATTTATATATAATGAATTATATAACAAAATAATTTATTTTCCCCATATTTTAGTAAATTAAAAAATAATTAATATACTAACGGAGAAAACCAAAACTTGGGTAGTTGCCTTACTGTTGCCTCTGAATCTTCTTTCATCCTCCTCATTCATTCGTCTTCTTGTGCAAACTATGCATACTCAGGTTCTTTTCTGTCTTCCTTTAAACTCATTTCCCCAAGATTTTCACATAGATTACTCCTTTGTATTTTTTTGAGATCTCTGCTTAAATACCAACTTCTTGGAAGGCCTACCTGTTCAACTTAATCAAGGATCATTATCCATATAAAATAGTGGCTCCCTCACCCTCTGTTCTTTTCACAGCACTTACCACCTATCCTGTTGTATATTTTTTTGTTTGCCTGTATCTCCCCACTATGTTTCTCTGTTGTTGACTACTGAATCTTCATTATTTAGAGTAGTATCTGGCACATTGTGGGCTCTTAACTATTGAATGAATGAATGAATGAATGAATATACCCTCAAAGGGAAGAAAAGATGAGAAGTTGGTGGTGATGGCGATTAAACGTGTAGCCTCTTTGCTAAAGTACATTATCTCCATTTTTGCTCTTGGATTATAATAGCTATGAAGATGAAAATTTAAAAGCAAATCTAAGAACTATTTTTCTTTAACAATTTTATCTAACCTAAACCAAGTACTCTATTCTTACTCATCTCTAGTTACTTTCTTCACCCAAGGAAAAGTTACTGAATGAGTAATTAAAATACTCACCTAAAATAAAATAGTTTAGTACTATTTTGGCTAATGAAATGGTGGTGGTAGGGGGTGCAGTAACCTATAAATAATTCTAGTTAAAATAAGAATGCATAAGATTCTATTACAGTATATTCTTACAAACTAGGATTCCACTTAAAATTTTATGTTTCCAAATTATTAACTGATTTGTATGGTTTCCCTCTTTTTAGGAAGAAAAAAGATGCAATTGATCCCTTACTATTCAAGTACAAGGTACAACCCACTAAAAAAAAAGAGTTATATGAGTCTGCTATTGTTAAAGCAACACAAATCAGGTAAAACTCAGTATCTTCTCTGTAGTAGTTTAAAGTAGAATAATTATGTATATGTTAGATTAAGAAGGTTTGATGTAGAAAAAATGGGTAGCTTGCAAGTGTTTGCTTCTCTTCTAAAATAAATGTACATTTAAATGCTCATAGACTGATTTAAATGAATCCTAATGGACTCTTTCAGCCCTTTGTTTAGGTTAACTAGTCTTCAGTCTAAGGAATAAGAAGGATTCAATTTATGAAGTACTTTTCATGAGAGAACTCAGTTTTCAAAGCTGAGAAATTTAATGGTGCTTACAGATGTGTCATGTTTGTATTATTTTATTCATTGGACACAAACATTTGATCATTCTCTTCCTACTACTTAAGAAAGTTAGCTGGGCATAGTGGCTAATGCCTATAGTCCTAGCACTTTGGGAGACTGATAGCTTGAGCCCAGGAGTTCCAGATCAGCATGGCAACATAGCAAGACCCCATCTCTACAAAAAACAAAAACAAAAAAAGTTAAATCATAAAAATTGAGTATCTTTAAAAAATCCTGTTTGAGGCCTAATCAAAGGAGAGGGGGGAGGGAAGGTAGTGAGTAGCTAAAACATAAAAGGAACTGACTCTAGTTTACATAGATATATTTTAGAAAAATCCCTATTGTTGCCTATTGGAGTTAAGCTCTTAGTCATCTGAAAGTAAGTTGACATTATCAGCCAGCTGTCAGCCTACCACCTAGGAGCCAATCTTAACATTACATTTAATATAAAAGAATGTTTACTTATTCTGTTATCCCTTTTGCCCCATATGTACTCACGTGTACAGAGAAAAATTGTAATAATGTAACTGTTGAGAGAATCTTGAGTCAGATACATCACTTTCTCTAGCTAAACTGAGGTGCGTGTGGTCGGTCGGTCGGTTGGTTGGTTAGTTTGTTGGTTCGGGGGGCCGTGATTAGTTTGAGATCTCTAGCGCATTCTACATTTTATAGTATATTGAAAAACTAGTATTCTCAAGTTAATGTTCTTGGATTATTTAAGCGTCTTTAATTTATTTAGTTTATGGGCTAATGAATAGAATAGTTGAGACCACAGATGTTTTCCTTATTCATGGCTGAGTTTTGTCTTTTTTGTTTTTGCTTTTAGTTCAAGGCATGTTATTTATATAATGTACACCCTATTTTATATTTTTCCTTTTTTTAACTTTTTTTTGAAAGATAGCAGATCTTTTTACTTTTTGACTTAAACTTTAAATATTATTCTGCTAGACTTTGGTTTCAGTCTCATTAGCTCATTTCCTTCTTAATCGTTGAGCCAAAGAATTATAAGATGAGAAAGTTATACTTGGTAATAGAAGACTTAAATGACTTATAGCCCTTTGTTAGCATCAAAAGATAGTACAGTACTATTCTTTTAATAAAGAAATGGCAATATTCCTCTAATAAAGAAGACTTGAGATGCTAGAGTAGCACTGACAAGTAGGACTTTTTGTGATAATGCAAATACTATGTGCGCTGTCCAGTGTGATAGTCAGTATCCATGTGTGGCTATTGAGTACTTGAAATGTGGTCCTTGTTCTCATGGAACTTTAAGTCTAAGAAACGTATACAGTTGTCCCTAGTATCCAGGAGGATTGGTTTCCAAAATCTGTGGATGCTCAAGTCCCTGATATAAAATAGTGTAGTATTTGCGTATAACCTATACACATTCCCTTGTGTATATTAAATGATTTCTAGATTACTTATAATACCTAATACAGTTATACTGCATTGTTTAGGGAATCATGACAAGGAAAAAAAGCTGTACGTGTTTAGTACAGAAGTAATTTTTTTCAAATGTTTTTGATCCATGGATATGGAGAGCCAACTGTATACATTTTGGGGAGGGCAACTATTTAAAAACTCTCCTCTGTGGTTTATTAATTCATAGAAGCTTTAAACTAGGCTTTTTCTTGAAAGGCATATGTTGAATTCAATTAAAACATTTACTTTCCCCCCACCCATTCCTCTCATCTGGCCATGGCTGGCATGTGGGGAGCGGAGTAAAAAAAAAAAAAAAAAAATTTACTTTTCTCCAGAAATACTTACATGTTTTTTATTGTTTTTGTTTTGTTTGTGGTAGTGTTTCTTGTTGCAATTGTTATTTTTAATTTGAGGGCAAGAGAGAATCAAAAATAGTATGTTTAAGGATCTTAATTTAATTTTTTTTTTTTTTTTTTTTGAGATGGAGTCTCACTCTGTTGCCCAGGCTAGAGTACCATGGCGTCAGCCTAGTTCACAGCAACCTCAAACTTCTGGGCTCAAGTGATCCTCCTGCCTCAGCCTCCCGATTAGCTGGTACTCCAGGCGCATGCCACCACACTTAGCTAATTTTTTTTTTTTTCTGTTTTTAGTTGCGCAGCTAATATTTTCTGTTTTTGGTAGAGACGGGGTCTTAAACTCCTGAGCTCAAGCAATCCTCCCACCTCGGCCTCCCAGAGTGCTAGGATTACAGGTGTGAGCCCGGCCTCAATTTTAATTCTTTTTAATTTTCATCCCACTAATTTGTTGGCTCCCATATGAGATTTAGATGCAAAATGTTTTAAGATTTGAAACAGTACAAAAGCAATTCATGTAACCAAAACGTCTGTACCCCCGGTAATATTCTGGAAAAAAAAAAATTGAAACAACTCTGTTCAACTCTGTTTACAATATCCATCTGAATGTTGATTTACAGTGCTGAGAGTTATATGCTATCTGGTAGTCTACTGCTTGTAATCTTTAAAAGAATTTTCATGGTGATATTTGTAGGGGTGATAATCTAATTCTGCAAAATTTTGTTTACTCTCTGTAGTATATTTTCCTTAAGGTTTATCTGATTTCTAAATGGCTCCTGAGCAACAAATGCATACACTGTTTTTGTAATAGGCTTTTCTAATAGATCCACTGAAGTAGATCTTATAATTTCCTACATAAAAACCTCTGTATAAAGCTTCTCATAACTTCTACATAAATTCTATTTAGAAGATGAAATGTCCTTCAATTCCTAGAGTTGAAATTCATGTTATAAGTTTACAGAGATTATGGAGTTTGGGTTGAATTTTTTGATACTAACACTACCTTTCTCCCTATAGCCGGAGAAAACACCTATTTTCTCGTGATAAACTAAAGCTTTTTCTGAAGCAACACTGTGAACCACAAGATGGAGTTATTAAAATTAAGGTAATCAAATAGTGAAATTATGTGTTGAAAGAAAGAAAAAAAGAGAAATGGGTAGGTTTACAATGTTATAACATTGCAGAAATGTCATTTCAAAGATGGTTGAAGATAGCTCTCTTTTAAAAAAATTTGTAGCCAGTTTTTATTACTTTTTAAAATATTTATTAGGTTAATTGCTGGTTATATAATCGCTAGAATTCCTAGGTGGCTCAGTTACTACCATGTTTTTTCCTTATAAGAAAGATCAACCAGGACAGGTCAGAATAGATAGAAAACATGGAAAAAGAAAAGTTAGGGAGTGGGGCAACTATAGCTTTCTAATACTAATACCTATAATGTACTTACAAATAAGAGATAGATTCAGAGAACAATGCTAAAACAGATCCTACTTAGACAAGAGAACAATGTGTAATAAAAAGAGCATCATTGGCTGGGCACAGTGGTTCATACCTGTAATCCTAGCACTCTAGGAAGCTGAGGCAGGAACATTGTTTGAGCTCAGGAGTTCAAGATCAGCCTGGGCAAAAGCAAGACCCCATCTCTACTAAAAACAGAAAAATTAGCCGGGCATGGTGGCACACACCTGTAGTCCCAGCTACTCAGGAGGCTGAGGGAGGAGGATCACTTGAGCCTGGGAGTTTGAGGTTGTGAGCTAGGCTGACACCATGGCACTCTACTCAGGGCAACAGAGTGATACTCTGTCTCAAAAAAAAAAAAAAGAGCATCATGCCAATACTGAGCAGATAGATTATATTTTAATAGCCATTGAGAGGGGAACAAATCCAGTTTTAGAGATCTCACATTGTACACTAAGTAAAAAGTTAAATGGAAACTAAAACTAATTTTTAAAGTGTGAAATACTCAACTCACACTGGGATAGAGCTGGGAATGGTAGTGCATGCCTGTTGTCCCAGCTACTCGAGAAAGGATCTCTAGAGCCCAGGAGTTTGAGGCCAGCCTGGGCAACACAGAGAGACTCTGTCTCTTAAAAAATAAAAAAGAACCAACAGCAATAGAATGGGTTAGAGAGATGTTTGCATTTGTCACAAATTAGTCATTACATGCTTAAGATTTGTGCATTTCATTGTATGCAAATGTTATATCAAAAGAAGAGAAGTTTAAAAAAGAATATGAGTTTATATGAAAAGTAACATTCAAATCTCTAAAGGCAAGATAAATTATTTAATAAATAAAACTGGGACACTTGGTTGAAACAAATGTTAATGTTAAACGTGCTTAAGTACTTAGGAAAAGCAATAAAAAAGAAATACCAAGGATGAAATTTGAGTGGACAATATAATGTCATGAATAGATTTCCAGGGCAATCGCTGGAGGAAAAATAACTTCAGTGAATATAGTGAAAAACTCAATTAAAAAAAACCATAAACACCCTGGTAGAAAAAGGGAAAATAGACATGATCAAAATTCATTCACAGTGAATGAAATATGAAAACTAGAAAACAGAGTCATCTGGAAAATAAATTTTTAAATGTGAGCTTATTTATGTATCTGTCTTGACAAGAGGAGAATGCTTAAATTATGCCCTATTTATAGTGTTGGATATCACATAGCCATATTAAGTGATGCTTACAGAAAATTTTAATGACTTAGATACTTGTAATAAATGACTAGAACTGTGCCTGGCACTTGGTAGGCAGTCAGTGAATATATGAATAGCTGTATATGTATATTGTAAACAGCCAGTTGGCCAATTCCCCTAATTTACAAGGGTCTCTTGCACATCAAAGAGCAAAAAGAACCCATTTGGAAAATGATAGTGAAAGACGTTAGCAAGTATTTCACCAAGTAAAAAGTCAATAAACATAGAAAGAAGCTCAACTTTACTTAATAAATAAGTGAAAATTAAGGTGACAGTAAATATTTTTCAATTACAGTATAATAAAAGATGAGTGGATATTTTGGTGTACCACCCATGTGTTTTATAGTCAAAAGGCAAGTCTGGGGTTATATAACCATCTCTATGGAATCTGCTTTAATGTGCTTTATATTGAAACGTAAAGGGCAATTCAGCAGTTATGTGGGATAGCATATGACCATCTTAGTGGAATCTGCTTTAGTGTAAAAATCTTAATAGATTCTTAGTTTATTACGATAGCCAGAACTGATTGAATTTTAGGTGTTAAAAGCTGTTTTCTACCAACAAAAATATTACATAGGAAATTGATTTCCCAGAAGTGTTCCTATTTGGTATCATTATTTTCTTATACATTTCCTGGAAGATATTTCTGTATATGGCCTTTGTGTTTTGAGGGGTGTTGGTTTTTGGAGAGAAAGAAAGAATGATAATCTTGGCCATTAGGTCAAAAATAATAAAAAGTCTAGTATCGGATACCACCATGCCCAGCTCCATTCTATTGCTTTTTTACTTAACACTTACTTATCCCAATGTTAGTTGAATATTTCATATTATTGCTTTTTTAAAGCCCTCCATAATTTCCTCCAATCAGAATGTATTGCTTTTTATTTTATACTTCAAGTTACAGATGGAAGGTAAAAGGAAAGAAACTAAACTCTTAGATTTAGCAATTATCTAACACTATACCATTTCTGGTAAGAATGAGGTTGACTTCTGAACTTAAATTCTGAGTTGAAATTTTATAGGAATTTGTAAATATTTCTGCTGTTATCTAGAGCAACTTTAAAATTTTATACATAAAGTGTTTATCATCCCAGCCTGGAATGAAAATCTAAATGTTCAGCAGTTGGTAAATGATTAAGAAAAATGTATTGGGTTAATATAGTGGATTTTTTTCTTAAGAGATGGGGTCTCACTATATTGCCCAGGCTGATCTTGAACTCCTAGGCTCAAGAGATCCTCTCACCTCTGTCTCCCAAGTACCTGGAACTATAGGCACGCGCCACCATTCCCGGCTAATACAGTGGATTTTTTTTTTTTTTTTTTTGAGACAGAGTCTCGCTCTGTTTCCCAGGCTAGAGTGCTGTGGCATCAGCCTAGCTCACAGCAACCTCAAACTCCTGGCCTCAAGCGATCTTACTGCCTCAGCCTCCCAAGTAGCTGGGACTACAGGCATGCGCCACCATACCTGGGTAATTTTTTCTATATATTTTTAGTTGTCCATCTAATTTCTTTCTATTTTTAGTAGAGACGGGGGTCTCTCTTTTGCTCAGGCTGGTCTCGAACTCCTGAGCTCAAATGATCCATCTGCCTCGGCCTCCCAGAATGCTAGGATTACAGGTGTGAGCCACCGTGCCCAGCTATAATGCATTGGATTTTTAATGGATTGATTATTTATTCACATAGGAAATCTCAGACAGCATTAGTCAAAAGCAAAACAAACATTGATTTATTACATTGTTACATAAATGTAATTTTGAAATACAAGAAACTGTAGAAATGTTAAGGTATTTTATGGTGAATTAATTTTTGAATTATAGCTTTCTTTCTGATAAGGCTGATTAATTATATAGTTTAAAAAAGGATTGGGTAAACCAAATAAAATGTATTTCACTACACAGTTAATGCATGAAATGCTAATGTTTTGACTTGGTCTTCAACAGCATTAATAGTGGTCATATGACAAGTTAAAGCATATCTGTATATGGTTTACTAATGTGTTGTTATTGCACTTTGTCTTTTTATTAAGGCATCATCTCTTTTAATGTATAAAATAGCAGAACAAGATTTTTCTTATTTCTTCCCTGATGAACCACCCACATTTATCTTCAGTCCTGCTAACAGACGAAGAGGGAGACCTCCTAAACGAATATCTATTAGTCAAGTAAGTAGAGAATAGATAAAAACTACATTTTAGCTGTTAATAAAAGTGTTCAGAATGAAGAGCTATGTTTGGCTCCCCTCACACCCGAAATCTGTAGGAAGACACTTACTGCTTTACAAGAAAATGTGAGCATGTACTGTATGTTGATAACTGCTCAGCAGTGAGGCTTATGGAAATTTCAAGTGAGAGTTAGACATGGCTCTCATGCCACAGAGATGTTATTCCAAAATGGAAGCAAGCATATAAGCAGTTACTGAAATGTAAAGCAGGATAAAATGTGGGAAATAAACTATAGAATTGTAGTGTAAAATAAAGAGCAATAAATTCTGACTGGAGGATATTATGGAGGGCTTTAAGAAAGCAATAATGGGCCTGGTATGGTGGCTCATGCCTGTAATTCTAGCAGTCTGGGAAGCCAAAGTGGGAGTATTGCTTCAGCTCAGGAGTTCGAGACCAGCCTGACCAAGAGCAAAACCCCATCTCTACTAAAAATAGAAAAAGTAGCTGGGCATGGTGGCGCATGCCTGTAGTCCCAGCTACTCGGGAGGCTGAGGCAGGAGGATCGCCTGAGCCCAGGAGTTTGAGGTTGCAGTGAGCTCTGATGACTGCACTCTAGCCAGGGTGACAGAGTGAGAACTGTCTCAAAAAAAAAAAAAAAGAACGCAATTATGCTTGAGCTAGACAAAATATAATGTTTCTAATGATGAGGCAAAGTAATGGGAAAGGTATTTGAGGCAGAAGGAGGAACATGAACAAGGATTATGAGGGATTCATTTGTATGGCATCAGTAAGTTGCATGGTTATAGTATGGCTGAACTATAAGTACATAGAAAGATGTAATGGGCAATGAGGCAGAAAATCTGTAGTTATTTTTGAGGCTCTCTAATTTCTCCATACAGTCAAAATGATACTAAGATATTCTTTCCATGATAATATCCAATTTGCTTAAATATTTAATTATTTGTCTTATGTAGGGGCTGAAAATAGGCTTTAGCCCAAAAGTGATGGCCTAAATTTAAATGTACCGATTCAGTGTATGTGATGAGACCGTAGAATGCAAAGTAAATCTTCCCTAAAGAAAACTCCTTGGGGAGTTTTAGAACAGAAAGAGAAGGGGCAGTTTAGGGTGAATACTGTGTTTAATTCTGTGCTCACCTCCCAGTTTATCTTACCCATCTTTTGCAATACGGAATTTTCTTCCTTCAGGTGGGTCATTGCCATTTCCCGGTTCAGGGAACAAGGACACTATGAAAGCTTCTGGAATTGGGCAAACTAATAACTAGATGCAATTGCCTGAGTTACAGAATATTTATTTTGGATTATTTCTAATCCTTTAATTCCCTTCCTTTTTATTTATTTTCTCTTATCCTCATTGTATACATTGCTTTTGTTTTCTTCTGCTAGTTATGGATTGCTGATGGCTGTAATGATTTACAAGCCAGGTTCCTACTGCTTCTAAGTATAGTTTACAGCACAGTCAGCATGATTTAGAAATTTGTTGAAGAATCTTGGAGTCTTTTCTAGGTTTTGGTTAAGTGTTGGCTCAAAGAGTTGCCTGTGCTGTAAGAAGAAAATAAAAAACCTTAGAGAATGTTGCTTCTATTGTTCTTTCTTTCCTTTCCCTCAAGCCCTTCTGTCTCTCTTCTCAGTACTTTCTTAATGGCACACTTACAGTTTTTCTACCCCAGATGAAGCCTGTTTCCTTCTTCCGAATAATTTTCAATACAATAAACTGCTTTTAATTTTATTCCTAAGCACTTTATTATATATATTGTCTTCTTTAAGCCTCCAAGTAGCTTTTCAAAAAAGGCAGGTTGGGCATGGTGGTGCATGCCTGTAGTCTCAACTACTCTGGAGGCTGAGGTGGGAGGATACCTTGAGCCCAGGAGTTCAAGCGGAGCCTGGACAACATAGTGAGACACATACCCCCCTCTTAAAAAAAAATAGGTAGGATCTCATTTTACAAATGAAGAGATAGGCTTAAAGAGATTAATTCACTTTTCTCAAAGTAACATAATGTAAAAGATGGGATTTAAATCTGACTTCAAAACTAGCCTCATGTTCTTTTTGCCTTGCTTCATGATACAGTATGATGTTAATAGTGTTATTCATTGACTTTCTAGCCATTTAGTTTTCAATATGAGATAAAGTTTAGAATGATTAATTACTGCTTTCATTTTCCAACTCCAGTGCAATTATAAATATTTCTTTTGGCTGTTTGGAATTTCCATTTCAGAATTTAGCCAAATTCTGAGATTCAAGAGGTATTTACTCAGAACCCTGAACTTCAGCTATTGTAATAGGGCATTTTAATTATGTAAGATCTGTCTTCCCTGCTAAGCTGTAAGCTTTGTGAAAACAGGGACCAAGTCCGTCTTATTTATCACCAAGATTAATTAGTACAATGCCTGGCACATGCTAGGTACTCAGATATTTAAGTGCATTATTTATGTTTTATTACATTTATAAGATGAGAGATAGTATAAGAATACTACACAAATTAATCAGGTTAGAGACATCATTCTCACAAGAAATAAAGTAAAACTAAAATTTTGACATTGTTTAATATTGGCCACAAGAGTGTTTCTGACATGTCTTTTCTCTGCCTTTTTTATTTTTTATTTTTTTAGAGACAGGCTCTTGCCTCCCAAGCAACTAGGACTATAGGCATGTGCCACTGCCCCCAGCTAAATATTTTATTTTTTGTAGAGGCAGGGTCTCACTGTGTTGCCAAGGCTGGTCTTGAAAAGTGATCCTCCTGCCTTGGCCTCCAAAAGTGCTGGGATTTTAGGCATGAGCCACCATGCTCAGCCCTCTTTTATATTTGATGTCTACACCATCTAGTTCATAAAGTAACCTGGAACATTTTTTGTTTTTCTAGTGCATATTTGTAAAGCTCTCCCTATATATTGCCAGTTATTTTTTCCTGGGATATTTTTGTATTAATTTATAGAGCTATAGAATTAACTCATGTTCTGTTTATTACTATGATTAGAGTTATTAAAAGTTAAGATATCCTTTAGAAAAAATTCATTTTAGTATAAAGAAGATACAATTGGTGAGGACTTTTAAATTTTTTGTTCTTTATTTTTACTATGATAACCAAGCAAGCCATCAATTTGTATAATTTGTGATTTACAACTTTAGTTTCTTGTTTTGTTTTTTAGGAGCACAGTGTTTCTAATAAACAGACTATTGCAGGTTATAGGAACAAAGGTATCAAAGAAAGAGACAAACTTTTGAAACAAGAAGAAATGAAATCACTGGGTGAGTTTTAACATTTCTAAAAACTGATTAGGAACAAGAAAGACTGTTTCTCTGCCTGAGTGGGGGATGTTTCTAAAATAACATTTCTGATTCATTTTTTTGGAGTGTAAATATTTTTTCTCTCATAACTTTTTTTTTTAATAAGAACCGTTCATCTCTTAAAACAGTATTTCAGGGGGGGAGGAGGGGCAAGGGCAACATACGTAACCTAAACATCTGTACCCCCATAATATGCTGAAAAAAAAAAAAGTATTTCAGAATATAACATATTCCCTATTAAACTGCTTAATGCTAGATTAAGCAGAAGTTGGAGTTTCCAGGGCTTACAAATTGGGGCCATTTTGTTTGATTCACACAGCCTTATAAAACATTACTTCCCAACCCCGAATATGCATATGAATCACTTGGGAATCTTGTTAAAATGAAGATTCTAAATTAGTTGGTGGGTGGGGAATGAGATTCTGCATTTTAACCAGGTGATAACTTTGCTGCTGGTCTTCAGATCACACTTCAAAAGAGTGTTGAGTTTGGGGACTTAAAAAGGCAGGGATATATTTGGCCCAGTACAGTAGTTTGTCTTAAACTCAGCCAATTTGCTTTTTTCATTTTAATCACCTGCTGGCTCCCTCCAGGAATTTTGTCTCTACTAATCTCATTTAACCTTAAATTATTTCAGGGTCCTCTTATGTCAAAAATATACCAAGTGTTATTTTCTGTCTATATACAGTTGTAAATTTGATTTTCTTCACAGCTTTTGAAAAGGCTAAATTAAAAAGAGAAAAAGCCGATGCCCTAGAAGCAAAGAAAAAAGAAAAGGAAGATAAAGAGAAAAAACGGGAAGAACTGAAGAAAATTATTGAAGAAGAGAGACTAAAGAAAAAAGAAGAAAAAGAAAGGCTTAAAGTAGAAAGAGAAAAGGTATTCATTTGAGTATATTAGCTATGCTCTCTCTATATAGTAATATTACTTTAAATATTTAAATTCATGGTTAATTTTCAAATACTTTTACTACTTTCATTCATGTTTATTAATATGAATGCATAGAACGCTGATTAGCAATATTTATCTCCCTTTTGCTATAGAAAATTTAATAAATGATTTAAGTTTCAACATACGTCTGCATGCCTTTATACCTCACTTAAAACCTCTTTTAAAGTGCAATTCTAAATGTTTGTCTTCATTATTTACACTTCTAAATTTAGGGAAGATGATATATGTAAAACTTTAAAAGATAAAATACATAGTTTGAAAAATGTTATAAATTCTATGACTAACAAGAATTTTTTTTTTTTTTTTTTTTTTGAGACAGAGTCTTGCTCTGTTGCCGGGGCTAGAGTGCTGTGGCGTCAGCCTAGCTCACAGCAACCTCAAACTCCTGGGCTCAAGCGATCCTTCTGCCTCAGCCTCCTGAGTAGCTGGGACTACAGGCATGTGCCACCATGCCCAGCTAATTTTTTTTATGTATATATTTTTAGTTGTCCAGATCATTTCTTTCTATTTTTTAGTAAAGACGGGGTCTCTGTTCTTGCTCAGGCTGGTCTCGAACTCCTGACCTTGAGTGATTCACCTGCCTTAGCCTCCCAGAGTGTTAAGATTATAGATGTGAGCCACCGCGCCCGGCCAACTAACAAGAATTCATTAGTGTTCCTATCCTCCTTGAAAAATAAGGTGTTTGTAATGATAGAGTGTTTCAGCAAATCTTTGATTATGGTCTTCAGTGGTAGATATTCCTTAGAGAATTCTGTAGCTCGTTTCCTCCCAAAGTCAGTCTTTTTCTTAGGTTTTCTGGGATATTCACAAGTAGACTTAGAGAATCATGTTACACACTGTTCTCATTTAAATTGCCTATAGTTTCTTGAATTTTTTCAAATAGGCCATTGAGGTGGTGTTGGAGGTCTAATAAACGTTTACAACAGAAAATGTAGAGAACAGAAAAATTACCTGTCGGCCAGGCACAGCGGCCGAGGCAGGAGGATTACTTGAGCTCAGGAGTTCGACACCAGCCTGAGCAAGAGTGAGACCCCCCTGTCTACTAAAAATAGAAAAAATTAGCTGGGCAACTAAAGATAGAAAAAATTAGCCAGGCGTGATGGCGCTGTGTGCCTATAGTCCCAGCTACTTGGGAGGCTGAGGCAGGAGCATTGCTTGAGCCCAGGAGTTTGAGGTTGCTGTGAGCTAGGCTGACACCACAGCACTCTAGCCCAGGCAATAGAGCGTGACTCTGTCTTCCCCCAAAAAAAGAAAAAGAAAAATCACCTGTCATCTAATGATAACATTTAGAGATAGAATTAACACTTTGATTCATTTATTTCCAGTGTTTAATCTGGGCCTTAAAAAGAGACATCATTCACCATTTATAATTTTATATGCTTTTTTCATCTAGCACAATCATAAATATTCTTATATGTTATTAAATACTCTAAGTGGAATTTTTAGTGACTCCGTAATAATTCATTAAATAGCTATAGCTAAATGCTTTACAATTTTTTGCTCAAAAATAATACTGCTGTGTTCAAATTTCCACATGAAGTCATTTCTTTTTTTGGACTATGTCCCAGGATAAATTTGTAGAAGTAAAATAATAGGTCAAAGGGTAAGAACATTTTTAAGACTTTCTATACACATACATAGCTAAGTGTTTGCCAAACGTGCTTATTTACCCTCTTAGGAACAATGAATAAGAATGCTCATCTTACTGTGTCATACAAGAATTATTTGGGGTGGGGGACTTATTTAAGCAGACTATTCAAAGCACAGTAAGTTCTGTAACTATCTAGGCATTTTATGTTGAAACTTTGATATTTTATTTATACTCTGCTTTATTAGAGACCTTTTGGGGATCAACATTTATCTTGCAGTTTTAAATGTTAGAACCAAGAATTAAGGGTTTCAAGAGACCAAGTGAGTTAAGAGCAATAGTCTGGATTACAAGAAGTCATCTATCAACTGTATTCTAATATTGATGCTTTTAATTATTGTTACCTCTGTGTGCCTCTAGGCTGTTACCAGATTCAAGTGAATCTTGAAAATAACAAATGTATTACAAATATAAGGGGAGATTTTATTTTAGATACTCTCATAATGTACTTGCTTTGACGGGATCTAATTGATTTGAAGTAGGGAGAGAGCTACTATAGGCAGAGCCAGATTAAATTAATATTTATTCAGGAGATTTTCTGTGCCAGGGATTTTCAGTCTTTATAGCATTATTTTGATAGGCATTATTATTCTTTTTTTTTCTTTTTCAGGAAAGAGAGAAATTACGTGAAGAAAAGCGAAAATACATGGAATACTTAAAACAATGGAGTAAACCTAGAGAAGATATGGAATGTGATGATCTTAAGGTATAAACATGTTACGTGATGTTTGGCACTTACATGTTTTATATGCCCTATGTAGCTTTGCTGATAAAATCTTTCTTTTATTTAATAGTGGCCTCTTTTCTTTATATTTAACTGAGAGGAAATAGTCAATTAAGCAAATTTTTATACTTAGAATTCCAGGGTAGCATTGTAAGTGTTTTATTACAAGCTTTGATAATGTTTCTTATTCTGCAGAAATAATTGATCAGTTTTTGTGATAATCCGGTAACCACTGTAGCCAGGCATGCATTTAGCTTGATTGCTAGGTAAGGATTTTAACTATTTCCAGAAATAGCCAGAGTATCCAAACCAAACTCATTCATTTTAGCTTTTAAGGAACCATTCTTAAATCAGTAGATGGTGGATTAATCATGTTCCATAGTGTAAGGAGATACTGCATTGAAGATAGTATTTCATAGCTAATTTGATTTCAGAATCTAGGTTAAGAGACCCTCTTAACTAGGAAATGTTAAGAAATATACTTCAGCCTAAAGTTATGTTCTTAGTTTGAGGAAGAAAAATGTCCCCTTCCCACAGTCCCTTCCTAGGGACTGTGATTTAGTAAAGTTGGAATAAGTTCAAGACATCTATAATTTTAAAAGTTCCAAAGGTGATTATCCAGGGTTAAGAACTACTAGTCTACATGGAATAATTCTTAATAATTAGATACAGAATATGTCATAATATCTACCTATAAAAATTTCTGTACTTGTTCAAATAGTTATATAAATTGTTTAATCTTACAGGAACTTCCAGAACCAACTCCAGTGAAAACTAGACTACCTCCTGAAATCTTTGGTGATGCTCTGATGGTTTTGGAGTTCCTTAATGCATTTGGGGAACTTTTTGATCTTCAAGATGAGTTTCCTGAGGGAGTAACCCTAGGCAAGTGCTCTAGTTATCTATTGCTGTGTTCATCCTAAAATTAGTGGCTTAAAAAACAAATTGTCTCTCAAAGTTCTGTAGGGCCAGTGGACTTAGCTCTCCAGGTCTCTACTGGGGTCTCGTGTTACATTCAGACAGTGCTGGGACTGGAGTCATCTGAAGGCTCGACTGACTAGATGTTCTAAATGGCTTCTTCATGCACATGTCTGATGCTTCAGTCCTCTTCATGTGGCCTCCCATTCCATCAGAGTATCTCGTACTTCTTACATGGTAGCTGAGAGCTCCAGGAAACAGGAAGCAGAAACCACTAGCCCTCTTAAAGGCTAGGCCTAGAACTGGCACAGCCTTACTTCTGCCACTTTCCACTGGTCAGAGGAGTGACCAGGCCATCTAGGATTCAAGGGGGTGGTGGAATAGACTCCACTTCTTGAATTGGGAGTGGTATATATGCGTGTTTGCCAACAAGTTATTGCCTACCTTTAATTTGTAATTATGTTTTGCCTGTGTACTTACATACTTTTACTTTCTATAAACATTTATAATAGAGTTTAGTACAGGGAGAGATCTGAATCAAATTTTGAATTTTTAGCTGTCAGATGGCAAAATAATTTTCTTAAGATCCATGTAGGGACCTTCAAAGACAATTATAATGCTTTTATAATGTTATATTTTTATAATTTTAATAAGAGTATATTCTCCAGGAGGGCTTTGAAATTCTTCAGTTTCTCTTTATGAATTAAGTGAGGCATGAGTCATTGTGCCTTACAAATTAAAAGGTCTAAACAATGCTGGTTTGGGTAAGAAGTTTAAGGAAGATGAATTAGATAAGAAACATTTACTTATAACTTGGATACAATATTAAGATTAATAATATCTAATACTGATAATGACCTCTCCTATGCATGGTTTACTAATCAGTTATGTCCCACCCACATAGCTCTCAAGAATAGGGGGGACAATAGCAAATCTTTGTGTTGTTCTTCAGTATAGAATAAAATTTGTTAAATGTGCCTTAATTTGTGCCTCAAATTTAAATTTAGATGAAATATTATGTTGACCTATTGAGGCTATTTTGGCTTTCTTGAATGAGGTGACTTTCGCTTATGATTTTATTATAATTATAAATTGTTTTCTAATTTTGGCTTGGATAATATTTGGCTCTACTTTTATAAATGGACACTTAAGAAAACAGTTGCACATACTATTGTTGATTAAATGTTCATTATTCCGGTGGAGTTGTTTTTTCAATACATGAACAGAACTTTAAATTCATTTTAAACATTTTATTCACAGAAGTGTTAGAGGAAGCTCTTGTAGGAAATGACAGTGAAGGCCCACTGTGTGAATTGCTTTTTTTCTTCCTGACTGCAATCTTCCAGGCGATAGCTGAAGAAGAAGAAGAAGTAGCCAAAGAGCAAATAACCGATGCTGACACCAAAGGTCAGAGTTGAACATTATTGCTAATTGAACCATAATAGTATTGTCCTGAAATTAATTTTTGAAAGTTATTTTAAAATTAAATTGGCTTTTACGCTTATAAAATATAGTTGTTCAGGTTACCCGATGTTGAATTATATATTAACAACATATTATCAGTTGTTTTATAAAAACTTTGTTTTAATGTAACCTGTTTCCAATGACTTTAAAGATATTTTCCCCAATCTGTCTTGCTTTTATTCCTTTAGATTTTTCCTGATTTAGGAGCATTACAGATTTTGTTTATCAGTATCCATAATCCCAAGAGTTTCTGCTAAATAGCACTGATTTTTTTTTTTTGCTCCCACCTAGGGAAATACATTAATTGTTATCCTTATTAATACTTTAAATTGAAAATACTACTGCTGATTTCATTTCAGATCTGACAGTTTTCAGATCAGAATTAAGTAAAATTTTATGTTTTTATTTCGCTGATTGGTTTGAACTAGGAATTTTTGCCCTTTAAATTCTGTACTTTTAAATATATAGAATCAGTATGCGGTACATGTTAATATAGGAATAATTCTTGAGGCAAACACTTTATTTTTAAAACATTGTGTTCACTATTAGGATTTACCTCAATCAAAGAAATAGTAAGCATTTATACTAAGAGATTGATTTGGCTTCCTGAATAATACTCCATGAACTTTGGCACATATGAGATTTAGGACCGGAAGCTTGATAAAACAATACTTGAGTGTGCTACATAAAAATTTACAATAATAACTGTTAGGAGGCATCTTGATAATGGATGTTGGTACAAAAAGATGGGACATTCCTCCATTTCAGATCCTTTTGTTGGTCTTAGATAATTCAAGCTCATCTTCTTTAATGACTAGTCCCTGAAGCAACAGAATATTGATGAATATGCATCTGATATTGGTGGCCTTTTGATTTTATGGCCTGAGTTCAAGCAAAATACATTCTCTAACTTGAGTGCTAATCACCATAGTTTCCTTATTAAGGCCTATTAATCACCATACATCCCTTATTAGTCAATTAAATGAGAATATTCATTCTTTTAGCCATTATGTCGTATTTATTAATGACCAATATCATCATTAGAGTTATTGATCAAGTTCTGGCCTTAATATAAGACATAAACCTGTATTTAATTCAGGATTTGAAGCAGATCAATTTTGTAGTTTTAGAAGTCATGATGGAAAAAAGTGTGGTAAAAAGGAAATTGTGTTGGAAAATCAGCTAGCATAAAGGAAAAAATATGTAATAGAAGTGATTTTGGTATTTGTATTGTCATTATATTCATGATTTTTTTGACCTGTGATTTTTATAACTATTCCTATATAGGACTGTCTATAAATATAAGATGTATCTCTCTGAATAAGCATTGGCCACTAAATAAAGGTTTTAATGCTCCATTTGAAAATACATATTTAAACGTTAGGGAGAAAAAAAGGACTTTGGCATTTTTCACCCTTTTCTTACTTCCCTGTTGTTATTGGCCATATTTTACATTGTTTTTTCAGTTTCAGTAAGAGCCCTAACCTGTTCCCCAGGTATAACTTTATTTTTCCTCACGTATGTTCTCCCATCTCAGTAGCAAAAAAGGTTTTCCACAGTCTTCCCAAAAGCAATTGAATAGTCAGCTGGGATTAAATATTCTTTTACTTATGCTTTATCTGAACTTATAAGTGTTTCCTGCTATTTCTAACAAGGGAAAAGAATGAATTTATTTTAGTGATGAGAAAACTAAGGCTCAGTGAGGTTATTTACTGAGGATCACATAGCTGCCAGTAAGTGATGAGAGACTGCATTGTTTCATTTAATCCTCACACCACCCTTATGAGGTATATATAATCATTTTCTGCATTTTAAACATAAAAAAACTGAGACTTAGCTTAAAGAAACATGGCTAATAAGGAAGTAATGGAATACAAATGCAATCTGATTCTGATTCAGAGCCTCGTAACAACTGCGCTATATTGTCTCATGATATGGTAAAGAAGTTAAAAATTTAAATATTTGTTTCCCTGCCATAGCCTATAAAATTATCTGTCTTCAAGAAGGTTTAATTTCTTTGGCCCTTGGTCTCCCTGTTTTTGTATCAAATCTTGGAAATTGTGACTAGCAATTTTAAAAATCTTTTTTTAAGTATATCAGTTCTTCTCTTTAGTCTTTTT